GCTTGCTCTGGGGGTCCCTGTCTCTTACATCCATCTTTAGAGGTTCCAAACAGGTTGTCACACCAACCCAGTATTTATGTGGGAGCTGGGCATGGAAACTGCAGTCCTAATGGTTATGTTTCAAACCAGGACAAAAGGTTGAGGTGCCGTTTGTTTGTTTGTTTGTTTTCTGAGACAGGGTTCTCTGTGTAACAATCCTGGCTGTCCTGGAACTCGCTTTGTAGGCCAGGCTGGCCTCAGACTCTCTGAGATTCACCTGCCTCTGCCTCCCAAGGCTGGCATTAAAGGAGCTCGGTCACCACCACTACCCCTGCCCCCTGCCCTGGCTGCCAAGGTGTCCCTGCATCCCTCAGTCCCTACCTGTTACAGGGTCCTCCTAGCTGGCATACCCTATCCCCTACCAGGGGATTGGGCTGCTCTTCCCTCTATGATACAACCATTTTGGCTACCCACTCTTTCTGCCTCTTTGAACATTTGTGCCTCCTGGCTATTGCACCTGGCTCCCCTCTCTCCCCTCCCCCCTCCCCTCATGGCACATCTCAGTCTGATAATGAGCACTCTGGATTCCCCTAGATGTCCCTAGATGTCTCCTATATGTGCCTTTACTATGTTCTCCCATCGTATATCTAAAATAACCTCCTCCACCATAACTAGAAGCAGTCATGTCTTCATTATTTCTTTTTTTTTTCATTCCCTACTGTTTGGAACATGCCTCAAGAGTATTATGCATGATATTAACACCAGGAGAAGCCAGGGAAAGGGAAGATAGGGACTCCCACAGCCAGATGTCATAGCAAACACCTGTTATCCCAGCACTTGGAAGGCAGAGGCAAGAAGACAGTGAGTTCAAGACTAGCCTGAAGTGCATAGAAAGGAAGGAAGGGAGGGAGGAAGGAGGAAGGAAGGGTGGGTGAGATGGCTCAGCAGGTAAAGACACTTGCTACCATGCCTGATGACCTGAGTTCATTTCCTAACTCATACTCATACAACTGGAGAGAACTTTAGCTTGCAAGTTGACCTGTGACCTCCATATAGTGCCATGGCATGAACAGCATGCACACACATGCATGTACCTACATATACACACATGTAATTTTAAAATTAAAGGAACAAAACCTCTCTACAGCTGTTTTTGTAATTGTATATCTAAAAATCATTTCAAAATAAGAGCTTTTTGAAAGCTCACTGGGGTGAATGGTGATGTTCAGTCGGAAAGCAGGTGACATTCTGTCACTGCCTTTACTGTGCCAAACATACATCAACCGGCAGTTCTTAGAGCGGCACCTGGGACATAATCAGACACAGACCCTAGGCTTTGTGGCCCTCAGGCAAGAGGGGCCTCAGGTTTTTCTGGCCCACAATGCCAGGAAAAGGGGATGCTCAATTGTCCCTGTACCGCTCTTGGAATCAGTTCCTGCTCCAAGATCGCCGTTCCTTTTGTTGTGTATTATGCAGCTAATCCAGCCAGCTTCAGGGGACCTCTGGCTGTGGCTCCTAGGCTGCTCTGTAGCTACCCAAGCTAAGGGGTAGTCATGACTTTTTACTTTTCTTCCCTCTACCTTGACCACTCTGACTTTAGTGGCCGGGAAGCAGGAGATAGATGGTGTGAGTGTAACCCATACTCACAAAATGCTTTTGGGGGAATGGGGCACTGATAGCTGTAGTTTGAACACACACTATCCCCACAGACTCAGTCATGCATGTCCTAGCTAGAGGAAGTAGGTCATAGGGGATGGGCCCTTGGAAGTGTCTTGTCCCTGTTCTCCTCCTGTCCTGCTCCCTTGCTACTTCCTGTGTGTTCTGAGATGAGTAGCTCTGCTATCAGGATCTAAGCCTCATCACAGTCCCAGCCACAAAGGACTGAGCCCTCTGAAATCTTGAAGCTGCTCCATTGGGTTATTTTGGTCACAGCAACGTAAACATAACTAATACACTGCCTATGGCTACTAATGTCCAGACAGGGAGAGACACCTGTGAGGGGACCAGGCCTGCCTATACCCCCAGAACTCCTCACATGGCCCTATTTTCCCTCTGTCCTGGTTCTGTTGTTGCTGTTTTTTGTTTGTTTGTTAGCTTGATACAAGCCAGAGTTATTTGTGTAGAGGGAATCACAATTGAGAAAATGCCTGCTTCAGATTGGCCTGTAGGGCATTTTCTTAATCAGTGAATGAGGAGGGAGGGCCCAGATTCTTATGGATGGTGCCACCCTTAGGCACCTAGGGTATATAAGAGCTGGAGAGGTGGCTCAGTGGTTAACACACTGGCTGTTCTTCCAGAGGGCGGAGACTTCCAGCAACCACAAGGTGGCTCACAATCATTTATTACCACAGTTACAGGGATGAAACATCCTCTTCTGGCCCTGAGAGCATCAAGCATGCACTATGTGCACATACAGACATTCAGGCAAGACACTCATACACATCTTTTTTAAAAAGGAGGAGGAAGGGAAAAAAAAGAAAGGTCAGCAAGCCAGGAGGACTGAGATAGTATACAACACTCCTCCATGGCCTCTGCATCAGTCCCTGCCCTGCCTGAGCTCCTGCCCTGACTTCTCCTGGATGACGGAGTACATGAAATGAAAGCAACTCTCCTCCCAAGTTGCTCTTAGTCATGGTGTTTATCACAGCATAGAAATTCTGATATATCCTTCATGAGGGGACTGCTCAGACTTAAGACGCAGTAACTTGCAAACCCTAGAGGTCCACTTGCCCACAAGTATAGGAACGGTTTTACCCAATGGGACAGGCACGGCCTGCCACCTAGGGGCCTCTCTCGGAATTTAGGGTTGTTTCCACTAGACGTCAGCATTTTGCTGACCTGTGTCTACACTCCTTTGCCCAGCTTCCACAACCTTTGAGGCCAGGCACATGATGATCTGAGACTAGGATTGTTCCTGCCAAACAAGTGGAAAAACACCACAGTGACAGAGTGGAGTTGGTTACAAAAGGAACACAGCAGGGGCCTGAATGCCTGCAGCCTGTTCCTTAGTTGTGCAGGGTTTGCTTGGTTGGAGCGCCCCCGTGTGGCTCATGTTGGCATTTCCTGTAGCACTGAGCCAGGTGGCCTACTGCTCCCATCTAGAAGAAGCCTCTGTGTCAGCTTTCTGACTGTGACTGTAGACACTAGAGGCTACAGAGATCATACACTGCCCTGCACAGGGGGCCTGGCTCACACTGAAGACCAGGGAATTATATAAGACAGGCTTGTAAGAACATACACCCAAGTGTGATGTAAATCTCTCCTACCACCCTGCTGAACAGACAGGTCTCACAATCTCATGCTGTTGGTGAGTTGGCTCTTGTGTGGACTCTCTCCACTGGGCATGCTAGTCTTTCTGAACAACAGACATGCTTGTTGTGGGAGAGAGGCTCAGCTTTGAGGGCCCAGCCTACAGGGCCTCCCAGAGTGAAAAGATGTGGGGGAGATGAACACAAGGCCAACACACAACACAGGTGCTGAGCCAGATGCAGTGGGCGCTCATGAGGAGGAGCATGTGCCCAGGAGACCGCGCTCACTGGCTATACAGGACTTCTCCTTGCTGTAGGTGGAAAGAGAGCTAGCCTCTACCACTCTGGGGCATTTGTTGCATCTCCACATGGGATGTGTCCACAGCTCCCATCCCTGCCTCCATTACTTCCTGGCCCCTATGCTCAGCAATAGATTCCGCCATGTTCCCTGGTTAGTTCTAGGCTCTGCCCCATCCATGGCAGGTCAGGTGACCTCACCAGGACCCCTTACAAGGAGACCACTGCACAGTCCTGGATGGTGGAATGTCTCTGCTGAACAGGCCATACTGGAGCCAAACACCTCACTGCAGCCTGTAGGTAGCTCTGGGTGTGAGGACCTGGATCTGTGCCCTTCCCCACGCTGGGCAAGCTTCATCCCTTAGAGGAAGCTGAAATCTGCTGCAGCAAGCCCCTTGTCCCAAGAGATACACACACCCTGACAGCATCTGCCCAATTCCCAGAGAGCCCCAGAGTGTCTCTGGGAAACCTGTTCTCAGTCACCTCCTCCCCACGAGGGTCTGGATGTGGCCCAGAGGGGACCAAGCTCTTTTGATTTGCAACAGGGCCTGGGACCAACAGGGTCATCCTGTCATGGGTATCTGTTCAAAACACACAGTATAGCTAGGGTTGTTGTCCCAGCTATTCAGAAGGCTGAGTCAGTGGGGCCACCATTTTAACCCCTGGGATGCATAATGAGTTCTGGGCAACTTAATGAGAGAGAGAGAGAGAGAGAGAGAGAGAGAGAGAGAGAGAGAGAGAGAGAGAGAGAGAGAGAGAGAGAGAGAACTAACAAAGGTTAGGGTAATAGCTCAGGGGGAGAGAGTTTTCCTCCAATGTTCCAGGCCCTGGGTTCAATCCATGTTATGTGTGTAGTGGATGGAAAGTTCTAACCCACACTGTAGCTGCTCTGCCATCTTCCATGGGGACTGGGCAGGATGGGGCACCTATGTCTGAGGGAAGAGCTTCCTGTCTGTAGAGATGGGGAAGAAGATGCCCTGTGTTCATTTGAGCTTTGGGGACATCGCTGCACTGGGGAAGGAAGTTCCCACTATGTGTGGGGTCCAGCCACAGGCACAGATGGATTCACAGATGGGATAAGAAGCTTCTGCCTCAGAAGTTCTGCTAGCACCTGGGTGGGGCTGGAATGCACTAGCCATTCTTCTCAGAGGACACTGGCATCTGATTTAGCATGAGCAGAGAAAGTGAGGATCTTACAACTGTGGGCTACATCCAGAAATAGATACAGGACGCCCCCAGCCCGTTACCCACTGACACTCAGCCACTCCAGGCTCTTCTGGCAGGGGAGACCTCATTCACATCTCAAAGGGTACATTTATTCAAGCAAAACTAGCAGGCTGCTAAACAGTGTGGGAAGGAGGGCTGTCCCCAGTGACTAGATATTGCCACCTACCTGCAGGCCATTGTACCGTGGCTGCCTTCTGAGGTGCATAGACCACTGGGTGCATCTTCTCTTCTCCTTCTCTCCTGGCACAGGCTCTGGATGAGGCCATCTTCAGCTACTCTTACCACCTGCCCTTGCTGCCTGCAGTTCTCAGGTTAGATCCACCTGCTGAGGGTCTTCCAGGTCAGGAGGGCCACGTCTCCACCATGTCTGGGTTGTGCTTTGATCCACATTCTTCAAGGCCAGACCTCTGCATATTCATCTAGTATGCCCCCCTGGCCTCTCCTCTGGTCTTCCTTCTGTGCTCCTGGCCAGCAGACTGGAATAGGATTCTAGCCATTGTGTCTGGGGGTAGTGTAGGAGGTCAGTGTGGAGTGGGGGGAGTCATAACTCTCATCTGCCCTCACAGAGACACCAGTGTAACAGAACAAGGTTGGGCATGGGATCTGTCCATCAGCAAGTGTTCAGGACCACAGTGAGTGACTTTAGTGTGACACCAGGATGTCACAGGGAATCCTCCTAGGTCAGCACTGTGACCACAGCCTTCATCTTGCCATAGGGGCAAGTCTGGGCAGTTCCGAGATCTTCTTCCAAGAGCATTGATGGTCACTATGGGAACAAGGGGATGTGTCCAGTGTGGGCTCCAGCACAGGAGCAGTTCTTACCCCTGCATGGCAGGGAACACTACACATTGCTGTGATTGGGATAAAGTCTGCTTTCTGGACTGAAGGTCACCAGGACTCTGTAGCCAAGGCTAGGCCTCTCCTAGAGAAGCGCTAGTCAGCAAGACAAGTTCTAGTCCTGGCTCACCCCAAGTGGACAGTGACAGCAGCTCACAGTGCTTTTACCCTCATCCTCCACAGGGCAGGGAACAGACCCCAAACCCTCCAGAGTCTTCAGTGTTGATACTCAGTTTCCCATGCTTTCTCTGGCACCTGCTGCTCTCTGGTCCTGTTAGAGGACAAAGGTCCACTTCTTCAGAGGGCTAGAAGAAAGACACAAGCATGAGACTCAGGGGATGAAGAAGGATAGCAAATATAACTGCTGGTCCCCTGAAAAAGATCTCTCTGTACCTTCTAAATAGCAGAACCAGGGGACTGAGATAAGCTGCGCCCCAAGTGTCCCACATGTCCCAAGTGTCCCCATCTCTGAGTAGAAAGTAGTGACCAAGCATGGCGTCTGGCCTTTGTGTGCAAACAGAGCATGACTCTACACATTAGTACCATTTCTGTGATTGTAGGTGACCCAGTGACTTGGGGACATGGAACTTGAGCTACAGAGGACACAGAAAACTCATAAAGCCACCTTCTGCTGCCTAGTGGATACTGACTTCTGAAGTAGGTACTGGTCCTGAGCATGCCACAAACCCTCTTGTGGACCCAGTGCCTGGAGAAGGGATTTTGGTTTCTGAAAGGGAGGTAACTTTTCAAGGAGCCTTCTGGAAGAGCCAGGAGTGGCCTTTCTGTTTCTCTGAGGGCAAACAGGCAGCTGCTGGGAGGCAGGGACCACTATTGTCTCCCAACACCATGAAATGTAGCCACTGACGTACTCACCAGTTCAGTGTGCCAAGAACAGCTATGACCAGAGAATGAAAGCTAGGGAGAAAAACAAGAACAAAAATAAAAACTGAAAAGGAAAGGGGAGGATGGAGAAACACAAGGAGAGAGAAAGAAAAATAAGAGTTTGTAGTGTGTCTATAAAGAAACAAGCCATGATCATAGACAGAGAGGGACCGTGGCCAGCTGGGAGGAGCAGGCAAGAACAATACATTTAAGGGGCTTTGTGAGAACCCTAAGCTTAGGGTGGCAATGCTACCCCAGATAACATTGGGGGACTAGTTGTGGGCTCCACACACCCACACAGCATGCCAAGCTTCCCAGCACCAGGATCTATGGAGAGAGTCACTGAGCCGAGGATAACAGTGGAACAGGAAGACCCTTCCAGTACCCAGCACATACAAGTGCCCTAGTTTTGGTAGTAGGTCCTTTAAAAACAACAAAATATGCCAAAACATTGAATAGACTCGAAGTATTGGTTAGGTTTGGGGTAGGGGGCAGACTAACTTGGAGAAAAACCAAGCAATTACATTCAGCCATTCAACAAAATTAGAAAACCCAGGCAGCAAACTTAATGTTGCTCTTGTGTTAATTCAAACATGTACCCTTGGGTTAAGTCACAAGCATACAGTCTGGGGAAGACTTTGCCACCTTAGGGGTTTGCGTTTATTTGACAGGCAAGTAGCCCATCGAGAAGCTAGCATGTTGGCCTAGCCTTGAGCCACCTAGCAGCCCCCAATTTGCCACTTCTCTCTAAAGAGTGGAAGTCTTTTCCCAGGGCTCCACCTTTGGTGGGACTAATGTCCTCGGACCATCAGGTCGGAGTTACAGTGTTAGAAACTCAGGTGAACAGTAAGACTGTCTTCTCCTGGCCTGGCTGGGCACCCAGTGTGCATGTTGAGTGTTTGCCCATGTGGCCTGGAGTTTTGCAGGCAGTCCCTGTTGGGACCCTGTTTCAAAGCATATTCCTGCTTGACTTTGGGGTACTATCTTCATGGTAGACCTGGGAATTTAAGTGAGATCTGCTGGACAATAGCTACAGAATGCCACACAGATGGCAGTCTGTCACTGCTAAGGCTGGCTGAAATACCTCCAGGCCATGGTTGAGGCTGGTGAGGAGGTGGTCTAGAGGCTACCTTGCCCAAGCTCTGCCTCCTGTTCTCCCCAGAAGTAACAAGGCAGACAAGTGGGTCCCACTGACCACTTCCTGCATCTTGTCACTTTGATGAGATCTGCCCATGGGTAGGAACAATCATAGAACTCAGGAAAGCACCTGATTTCAGAAACCTGGGAACTAGCCCCAAACCACACAGGATATAGAAAAGAAAGCACAGCATTCTGCAAGGGGTAGGGGTCTCTAGGCACAAATGTCAACTTGGTTTGGGGAGTGCTGAATCTGTTGATACCAGTGGACAGAGAGACTTTGCACCACAGGCTGCAGAGCCAGGGTCCAGAGAAAGCACCTGAGTAGGCACCCCAGCATCTCTGGTCCTGTAGACACTACTTGAGGATCAGGGGCAAAAGGTCCCCATGCCCTGAGAGCCACTCTTGGGGAGCATGACCTATCTTTCAGGAACCTGATCTTCAGACAGCCAAGCATGATGAACCTGGAGGACTAAACCCATCTGCACCACCCACAGCACCAGCATGGAGAAGGACCCTAGGTCACTGGTCCAACATATGGATCCAGAGGGGAAACTGGGGCAGTGCAAAGGCTACAGGACTAGGCTGTGTGAGGGTTCCTGGCTCTGGCCCAGTGTACCCACAGCTCCAATGGGCCCCTTTCTGTTCATTCCCACTCTGCTTTTCATGGGCTACCATGCAGGCCAGGTCTCAGCGGCAAGGCTTGAACTTGTAGATGCCAGGCAAGCCCAACTCCCACCCTCCAGCTGCACCCTCCCCCATTCGTTAGTTTTACCTTTTCTTCCAGCTCCTTTATTTGTCTCTTCTGGGTTTCTATTCTTTCTTCTAACTCTTTTATTCTCTGCAACAGTAAGAGAAGGAAGATATTCAATAATCAGAGGACTGAGGTACCAGCCATAAAAGGGTCAAGATTTCCCCTCACATGTTTGGTGGACAATAGCCCACAAAGCAGATACTGTGTTGGTCCAGCCTTGAGCCACTTTGTGGTCCCCAGCTCACCACTTCTCTTCAAAGACAGTGAGAATCCTTCCCCACTTCTCCTTTGATGAGACCAATGTCCTCTGACTATAATGTTCAAGCGGAAGAGCAAGGAATTGGCCTACGTCCTTCCCAGGGCCATTATACAGAGCAACAGGCAACCAGCAGGCAGAGCTACCAACTAGAACTGTCCTTCTGCAGCTGAGGCCTGACCTTGGAAGCAGCTGAGAACCAATGACATCCCATTGACAGAACAAGACGGACGGGGTGACCTCCCTAACCCTGACTACCCTGGAGCCCAAAGTGGCCATAGTGGGCCCATGTGTAAAGGAGTGTAGGCACATCTTAGGGGTTGATAAGTCCTGTCCGATGGCCTACTGACTGTCATGGGAAGGTAGCATCCAGTCTGGTAGCTTATCTAAATCTGCAGTCTGAGCTTTTTCGTGTTTTGGATCATCTGGCCTGTGTGTCCATGGAAGCTGCTTTCAGGCCAACCCACAGGCAGAGACTGTGACTCATAAACAACGGGGCTGGGTAATGGCTGCTTAGCTGCTGCCCACAGACAACACTCTTACCACCAGGGGACAATGCCCTGTAGGAGTCCTGGAAGCCAGGAGTCCATGGAGAGCTACCACTCAAAGGCTTTAGCAACACAACCAGAGCTAGTTAGGGAGGGACATGGACTGAGTATGAATGGGAGTGGTCATTGGAGGACACGGCTGTCGGTCAGTCGTGTGGCCCCCACGAAGCTGGGTCTTGGGAAGTCCACCCCCGCCCCCGCCCTCCCACCCCCGCCTCCGCCATCAGCACCTGCTGCGCAACCTGCAGCAGTTCCATGCGCTCCCTCAGGATCTGTGCGTCACGCTCCCGCAGCTCGCTCATGACCTGGCGTCTCCACTGCTCCACTGCCACCCTGAGCGTCTCACGCTCTTCTTCTGACAGCAGCTCAGCCACTTTGGCCCCGGCTTCCTGCTGCAGGGCATCATACAACATGGCTTCCAGCTCCAGGATGTGCTGGGGACAGGAGACAGGCATCAGCCCTCCCCCTCCTTCAGGCGTAGGCCCACCCTCTCCAGGGCAGGCAGCCTCCTGGGGAGGAAGTGTGCTCAGTGGTCTCTGGGGAAAGGGCCTGGAGTGTCACAGACACCCTACTTCCTATCCAGCAGGCACCCTAGAAGAGCTGGGGGTCAAACAGCAGCCAGGGCTCCCTGCTGAGGTCCTGGTACCACAGTGCCCTTGTGCTGTTGCCTCAGCAGCTACTCAGAGGGAATGGAACTTTAGGGATCTCAGAAAGCACTCTTTCACTGTTTGTTTGGGGCTGGGGAGGGAACCCAGAGCCTCAGACATGTCAGGCAACAACTCTATCAGTGAGGTCAGACTCAGATCCTGAGTGCCAGCCTTTTATAACAAGTGTGGTTGCACATGGCTTAGAGTAAACGCTGCAGGTTTCACACACTCCTGCTAGTGAGAACTTTAATCTGGACTTTGTTTATGGATAAGGATATGCCAGAGGATGAACCTAGGTCACCAGAGGAACTGTCTCTTCCTTCGGTTAGCCTATAGTTTACCTACCATGTGTGAACTTTTATTCCTTAAATAGGGACATTCCCTTTAGATTATGACCCCCCCCAAGGATGACAAGATATATAGAACAGGCTAAACTTCCATTTCTCCAAGTTTCAGATGAACAAAAGGAGGGTCTCCAATAGAATGAGATTCCCTGTGAACACTCCGTTGTCTCCAATTAAATCCTAAATGTACTATATGCTCATCAATGTCCTATCAACTAATTTAATGCATCTGTATTAGTTCTCAGTGTGTCTAAATGCCTGTATCCATGCGAGTCCTCATGTGCTTACACTCTTGAAGTGTTTGCTGAATGGGCAGAAACACGTCCTCAGAAGTCAGACTGAGAAAGGCAGAGAGAGACTCCACACTGAGTCATGGTACCTCCTAAAAGTTTTGAGCCTGGCCACACAGGCCTTTGAGATGTTCACTGGGATGGGTAAGAAGGTAGATGTCTGCCACTCAGCTTGCTCACCTTGTGAGCTTGGTCCAGTGCCTGCTTCCTGTAGTCCAACTCCTCATCCAGGTAGCCTTTCTGCTTGCTGAACAGCTCCTGAAACACAGGGGGCCAGGCCTTGGCCTCAGGCGAATGTTCAGACCTGGTAACATGGGTTTCAGGGGAACTCCTGGAGATTCCACTGACCTTCTCGCTCTCCAGGTCTACCATTTTCCGCTGTAGAGCTGACTCTGTCTCTTCAATCCTCTGGAGCCACTGGGCACAAACACAATGAACAGGTGATAGTGTCTGCTAGCACCTCCCCTGTGAAGTCAATGTCAACCCTCTCCCACCCAACTCCAAGGAGAGAGCCTGGAAGAAGATCAAAGGAGGCCTGACTAAGGAAGGGGAGTTAGGGTTGGGCTGGTATTGTGGGCTCCACCTAGATCCAGGACCCACTACCCATGCCACCTGTCATTCAGGATGTCTGCCACTCCTTCCTTCCCAGGTTTGGGGAGTAGCAGGAATAAGTGCATCTTAGAACTCTGCTAGGAAGGGTTGGGTGGCCTGTTTCCCAAAATCTTTGTTTACCAGGATCCCCTTTTCCTGAATGGCTGGAGGTCTAAGGGTGGCCCACTAAGCAAGTCTGGACTGGGGGCAGGACCAGGATGAGGCTGGGGGGCTAAACAGAATTAGATCAGGGAACCAAGGAACACTGTCAGTTTTACAGACTCAACTCAGCTTCCAACCCCCGGGAGGAGGCAGAGGTGAAGCCAGCAGTGAGAGTCTGTGGGAGGAGGTAGAGGTGAGAGTCTGCATTGGGGCAGTGTCTGTGGAGGAGGTAGAGGTGGGGTAGTGTCTGTGGGAGGGGGTGGTGATGGGAGATGTCATTCTGCATATGTTTCTTATACTGGTTAATGAATAAAACACTGTTGGCCAATAGGAAAGTAAGATAGGCGGGACTAGGAGACAAGGAGGAAAGAGGAAGTAGTAAGGAGAGCCAAGATGGAGAGTCTGGAGAAGGAAGAACCGCCAGCCGCCTCTCCCTGGTAAGACCAGGTGGAAATACATAGAAATGGGCTAATAATTAAGACAGAGCTAGCAGATAAGAAACAAGTAACCAGGCCAACAGAATTATATCTAATACAGAGTCTCAGTGTATTATTTGGGGCTGGCACGGCGGCGGGACAAGACCAGAGGTGGCAGGAGGAAAAACCATACTCCTTACAGGGTGGAGACAGCTGTTTGGGCCAGTGTTTGGCTGAATCTCCCCTGTGTAGAGGTACTTGGCATTGCTGTTGGACCTGTGTGGGCTAGTTTCCCTAGGCAGATATGACCTAGGGGACCATGTCCTCACCCTGAAGGCTCTCCTCCCAGAGAGAGTATTTATCTATCTACAGCAGCCTGCCCCTCCCCCCTCCCCCGACACCCACAGAGTCCCTGTTACCTTTTCTGCCAAGGTCAGGACTGTCCTTGCTTGAATGACAACCACTTGTTCCTCATTGGTCAGATTCTGTGTGCAAAAGCAGAACACAGAGTCAGAGATAGGTGTGGGTGAGTGGGGGTGGTGAGTGGACATGGAGTTGGGGTTGTAGCTAAAAGGTACTTTCACTCAATCATCCTTCTGCACGTCTGATGTCCTTTACCCCCACCTTGTCCACTCTGCGGTGCTATCCACATCACCTTCTCACTGTCAGAATACCAAGTCTCAACAAACCAGCCAGGGCAGCTTAACCAGCAGGCAAACCTAAACCATGTCTTGGAGACAAGTATTTCTGTCCTGTCCTGTCCTAGTCTTCCCTTAAGGCCAGCATTATGCATATGCAGCCATGGTGAAGATCCAGTATCCTTGGCTGTGAAATGACCCCAGGTGTGTGGGAACTGGTTTGTTTTCGACTAGTTCTGCATTCACGTTCCCCCCCCCCAAAGGGCCTCCAGGTCTTTCTGAGCAGGATTTGTCTGGCTTTGGGGACAAATGGGACCCTTGTCTGGATGTGGCCAGCCACACACTCAGAATAAGGCTGTCATCTACATTGGATCTGGCTGCCCAGTTCCCATGTGAGATGCATCAAGAGGAGCAGGAGGTGTGGCTAGCTAAGCCTGGAATGGGGGAGCCCCATTTACCCCTAGAACTTCCAGGATACTAGGTCTTCCCTCCTAGAAGGTGAGCTCCCTAAAGGCAGGTACCTCCTTCTTTCCCTCAACCTCCAAGTCAGAATGAGGGTCCTCGCAGGTGTCTGCTCTGGCAGGCAGGGATGCAGAGGGCTGCACTGCCTGGGATGGGTACAATGGGAGCCTCGTCTACCAGTGCTGGCCTTCAGTGTTCTTTATCCCTCCACCCTACTCCTCTCCCACCCATGATTTCTTCTTGTATCTACCGCTCCCATTCTTCCTTGCTTCTCCTCATCCCTCCTACTCTTCTTCATTCCTCCTGTTTGGAAGCCTCAGAGGCTTCTAGAAGCTCCTTCCCCCTAAGGGCAGAGCTGTGTGGTCATAGCTTTGTCTGCTGGGTGGGATGATGAACACTAGGGAGGTTGAACAAAGTAGCTTCAAGGTGACTGAAGGGATCTACTTGGATGTATCAAAGCAAGTTGAAGTGCTCTTGGGGGCATTTTTTTTTAATATGCAATCTGACCCTCTGAGCCCGGGAGGTCCTGCCCTCTACTCCAGGTGACAGTGAGGTGACTGCAGCAGCTTGAGCTGCACCACCTGCAATGAAGGATGGGCTTCTGTCTGTCTGTTCCTGGTATCCCGGCTCCTAGGAACCTGAGGCAGGTAGGAAATGCACATGTCTGGTAACAGCAGCCATGGCACTCATGTACCCCAACTATGAATGTGACAGTCACTTGGTTCCTCACCAGCAGGGCCACTGACTGCTTCCAGATAGAATTCACAAGCTCAGGCTTTTTGCAGTAAATTATTAGACTGTGACAAGTAGTTGGAACTTGGCTCATTGTCAGGAAATACCAGGGTCTCCTACATGTAAGACCTGTCTATATTCCCTCCAATTGTCATCTTTCTCTGCCCTTGTGGTCTGTGAAAGTGACCACAGAGGCTATATGATGACCCTAGGGAAATCAAGCTACATACAGATACTTTTAAGTGAGGAGCTATTGTGTTAGGAATCCAGACACAGACCTGGTTGGAGCCATCGCCAAAACTGCCATTAAATCAGCTCCGTAAACTGAGCCATCAATTTCTCTAGCTGTAAACCAGAAGTTAGAATCCATGACATAACTTGCACCTATGGCTAGACCTCAGGGCACAATGCATCATGACTATCCCTGCTATTGAATGGGACTTCACCATCTTTGCTATAAAGGAACCATCAAGAGTGGTTAAGTGGTGGACATAGCCATCTGGGAACTCCCTGAAGGTGCTTCTCCCTGCTCTGTTCCTCACAGCGTCCCAGGAAATGAGAGGATAAAGAGAAGGCTCCTGTCAGTACCAAAGCTGACACAGTGGAGGTGGTGGGAGAGATCAACAAGTATGTAATAATGCATGGAGAATAGATAGGTAAGTGATTGCAGGACGGGTGAATGGAGGGAAGAAGGAAGAAGGTATAGGGGAATATGGAAGGAGGACTGATGGAGGATGGATGAATGGAATTAAGATAATGGATGGATGGGTGGGTGGGTGAATGGATGGGTGGGTGGGTGGGTGGATGGATGGATGGATAAATGGTAAACAGGATAGAGGGACGCGTGGGGATGATTAAAGGTAGATGGGTGGTAGATATGGTAGACAGAAGATGGATGAAAGGACAGATTGATGGACAAGGAACTGGTGAGTGGATGACAGAAATAGGGTGACCAGAGAGAAGATGTATGTATGTATGTATGTATGTATGTATGTGTGTAGGGTGGACAGAGGGTAGAATGGTGGCCTGAAGGAAATCTAGGAGGTATAGTGGAGGGTTGCATTGACTCTGTCCACTTGATAATTAGTAGTCTTTGGAGGAGTTTGCTGCAGAAATAGGCACTTTCCTCCCTATGTAATTTGGAGACTACCTATTGACTCTGCTTCTACCCCAAAATCAAAGAACTGAGAATCCCAATGAATCAGGATTGCTGAAGAGCAACACTCCCCCAGACCAACACTGTGGTCATAGAAGAGCTATGATCCAAAGAGGGTCTAGAAACTAGGTACACATGACTAGGCAGCAAGAACTGGGAGACTAGGCCCCAAGGGTATAGCCACAATGAGCCAAGAGCAGGCTTTTCCCAAACTCAGGAGTCATCTAAGCAGGCTCTTCACCTCAGGAGAGGGTTTGGTCAAGGGAGCCTATGATGGGGCTGGGGTGGGCTTACGGGGCCCCTGGGCCTGAGGGCTGGGCTGGGGTGGTCAGCGTGAAGAGGCATGCACAAGTCAGGAGAGCAACATACACTTACGGCGTTATCCCCCAGGATATCCAGCTTCTTCATCAGCTCTGTGACCAGGATGTCCTAGGAGGCAGACAGAGGGACAGAGTGAGATGTGAGTGACAGCTTGGTGGGCCATGCAAGGTGATGGAGGGAGGGGGAGTCTTACCGTTACACCTTCCGCTTCACAATATACCTGCAGGGGGCTCTTCCCATCTACAAAAGGCGTATGGTGGAAGTTGATGGCAGGTGACTTCCTCTCCCTCTCCTGAGACAAAGAGAAGACAGTTGGTCATGGCAAGAGTGGAGCTGTTCTCACCCTATCTCCTCTCTCCCTGGTGCTCTGAGTTGGTGCCAGGGCAACACCGAGTAAGACCACCCACTGGAGGCTCAAGGTGATGTTTCCCAAAACCAGCTCTAGGGGAGCCCTTGAGAAGAAACCTCCATGGACTTGCCCAGAAGATTGTCTCTGTGTGCTTGCTGCCCCAGGTGGCAGGATGCTGGCTCTACAGAGCCCTGGTCACATGGCCTACTGGGACCCATCCCAGGGTTCACTTGGTCTTTCAGCCTGAGTCCCAGAGGCTGTGAAGAAGCTTAGAGGACAGACCTCAGGTAGAGTCACCCATGGAACAGACAAATGAGTGCCAGAGGAGACCACTGATGGGGTCCACAGTCCTTATACAGAGGATGCACACAGAAGCCCAGAATTCATGGAGGACAGCCAGGCAGCTTCATGGCCCTCCAGTACCCAGGGAGGTGGACAGGATGATTCCTAGTAGAAGGTCCATCTGGACTCAATGTCCAACAGGCTTTCTGCCCACGGGACTGAGGTGGAGGACTCAGGGCTGTGTGGGAATGCCCATCAGGGACACACCTATGTAATAACTTCCTCTAGCCTTAGTGAGCAACACTACCCACCTGTCCTCACAGTGAAAGTTGGCACAGTGGCATGAACCCCCCACCCCAGTCTGACCTCCCAAGGATCTTTGCCTCTCCTCCTTTGTAGGTCACAGCAGAGGGCATAGGCCAGGGACAGCAGGGTGAAATTGAAGGGCATCTGACCATTGTATGGTACCTCTCCATCTAGGGCCTTGAATATCTGCTGGGCTGCACCAGGGCCTGGGCAATGTCCCTGTAACTGGTCACCTCAGTGCAGCTGCAGTCACAGTGCTTTGCTAATGTCACAGGTCTGGAAGGAGCCCTGAGCATTCTGCTTGTTTTCCTTTCCCTTTACAATGCCCATTTCTTGCTTGCCACTCCTCACCCCTACCCCAAGTGCCCCATTCTTCTTGGGAGGTAAACAGTGGCCCCACTTGGCCTCTTTTCTTTCCCACGTAGCCTTTGGGATTTTATTCATCACAAGAGCTGAGAGGTTTGAGAAGAGGATCCCAGATTACGGCCCTATGGTCCAGCAGCTTGTGTGCCCCGCTCCCAAGTCTACCCTACCTCAAGCTCCAGGATCCTGAATTCCAACAGCTCATTCTGGTCCTTTGCATCCTGGACCTCGTGCTTCAGCCGGGCCTCCTCTGTCTCCATTTGTTTTATCTGAAGAATAGAAAGTGGGTGAGCCGAGAAAGCATCTGATTCTTTCAGGGATGGCAGACCAGCTTTTTAGACAGCTGCTTGTTTCTGTGGGAACAGGGCCACTTTCCCAGTATGACGGGGCTGCCCAGAGAACTGCTCCACAAACACAGAAAAGGAAGGAAGCTATTGAGGACAAGTTGTCCCCTCTGCAATTCTGGGAGCTCAGGCTGGTCCATGGCCCAGGGAGGAATGAATGGGTGTGTGGTTGCCTGGCAACATTCCAGATTTGATGTGGATAATTCAGGTGTTTAGATAGCACCAATAATGAGTGGACTTGATGTAGGTTCTGTCTTCCTGTGTCCTGTGAACACACAAGGGCTGGTGTGTAGTTCAGTGTTAAGTGGAAGGGCACATGCCTAGCATGTGCAAGGCTCTGGGTTTGACCACTGGCATCACAGAACAACACCAAAACCAAAGACTAACACACACCACTCAGGGTTCACACCCTCAGTTGCTCCGCGAAGACGGGATGTCCACCGTGGAGGAGGCAGCTATAGCCATCTCTCCCAGCACTGAACTTGGAGACCCATAAGCCAGTTCTACTATTCAGGAGACCGGCAAGGTAGATATCCTGTAAGTGAGCCAATTCAGTCTGCTCTAGACCCTTCCATGGTGCTAGCTCTTGCCCTGAGTATTTAGCAGCTTTGAAGCACCTGTAGGGCCAGGTTGCCACTTTGTATCATCAAATCCAGAAGGCAGCATAGGTGTACATGTGTGTTGATGTATGTTCTCATACCTGTGTGTGATATGAACATCTACACATGTGCATGTGGATGTCAGACGTTGACATGGAGCATCTCCTTCAACCTTTCTCCACTTGTTTTTTTTTTTTTTTTTTTTTTTTTGAAACAGAACTTTAAATTTGGAATTCACTAATTCAGCCGGCCAGCAAGCCCCAGAGTCCCTCCCAGTGCTGAGACTATAGACACACGCTGCTCCACCCAGCTTTGCATGAGTGCCAGGATCTGAACTCAGGTCCTCAAGCCTGCTCAGCAAGCTCTTTCCTGTCTGTCTTCTCTTCAGCTTCCTGGAGAGCACAGATTTTTAAAGTGGGTATGTGCATCTGAGTGTGCTCACAGGTGTTAAGTGTGGGGGTACACGAGTATTAGTGTGTACCGCAAAAAGAAGTCTCCTGTCTAGGCCCACCTTGGGGAAGATGTGTTGGCACCAGGAAACTGCTAAGATTAGTGTGGCTCTTCACCCATGTTTTCTGACCTGTTTTAATTAGATAAAATATGACAACCAATAAAACCACAGCCAGGGAAATGGAGTTGAGGTTTTGTTCTTGTTGTTGTTTATTTTTTGTTTTTGAGTGTTCTGTTAGCATAGACAACCAAGAGAGCCCATAGCTGAAGATATTATGAGGCACTGCCCTACTCAAGCTGCACAGTTGGGAACAAAGTCCAGCCTCACCTGGGGACTCTCGAGGAGGCTCTACTCTGAGGACATTCAGTCTCATGGTGGACATTGCTAGAAGATCCTTGGCCCACATGGCTTCTGACCAGATTGGTTCCAGTGATTTCTCCAGCCATTCTTACCCATAATCACAGCAGTTACTACAATGACTGCAGACACAGCTCCTATGAACCTGAAAGAAGCAGCCCTTGTCTCCTCTTCCAGGAAGTGGGCTGTCTTGGGCTGCTACAGGGTGAACCACAGAAAGGCCTGGAACTCATGCCGAGTCTACTACCAGCCTACAAAGTCTACCGCATACTCACTCTGTAAGCACAAAGGCATCTTGCCAGATGCATGTACAGCTGGGAGATAGGGCATACCTTTTCTACAAGCTCTTGATTTCTTCGATACAACGCTTGCTTCTCCTCAATCCATTTCATATCCTTGAAAATGGAATTAAAATGCAGACATGAATACCCTGCAGGAGAATACTATAGGTATGTGCTCACCCCCTCCATCCTTATTGAATAGGAAACTTGGAAACTACTGAGGGCCATGCCTCTCCCAGGACCCCTTAGTTCAGGTAAAGGATATGAACCCCAGAGGAACTCACCTGCCCCTGCTCAGCCAGTGCCTTTTCCAGGTCCTCCACCCGGGTCTGTGCTCTCTGCATTTCTGCTTGCAGCTGCTCACGGGTCTGTAAGAAAGGAGGAAGAATACATCAAATTTTCTCTAACAGCAGACAGACAGACTCAGAGATACAGGCTGTAGAGCACTCTGCCTCAGTCCAGTTAATTGGTAAGTAGTTGTGCTGTGTTTCCAAGTCCCTAATTTGCAGAATTGCCTCTTGCCCTGCAGGGTGAATAGGGAGAGTGTGGGCTACCAGGACCAAGACCTCACAGCTTTCTGCTCAGGAGAGCCCCATCGCTTGAGGAAGCAGCCTGTCTCCCTACTTACTGTACCAGCCACAGTTCTAAGGTAGGTGTCCCCTGGAAAGCCGTGAGGAGAATCCCCTTTCCCGTGTCCTTCTCTGAGTCTTAGTGCTCTCACTGCCTCCAATAGTCAGCAGGGAGCACTCCCTCTCAAGCCTTGCTGGTCAGGGTTGCCTGGATACTGCTGACTGATGGAACATGTCCAGAGAAGCAGACAGGAGGAGCTTTGCAGCTCCCATCGACAAACCTCGGCTCCCACACTGTCCTTAGCCTATCCCCGTGCCTTCAGAGGCTGTAAAGGTGGCATTATCTTACAGTATGAAGGTCCTGTGTATCCTGGCTATAGCCTTTAGCAGAGACAGGGATCCTCACCCATATCTGTATGGCCACCATCCATGCCAGTTCCACCCTAGCTCAAACTGACCCAGCCTCACGTTCCATAACCCTGGCTTTTAAAGGTTCTAGTGCTAAGACCCAAGACCCAGTGACTGTGGGATACAATGAGCTTAGCTCAAAAGTTTAAGCAAGTTGAGTGTCCCTGTAGAGCCTGGGAACAAGCAGGGAGGTGCTGAGTGGGAGCTGGAACATCGCAGAGTAGAAGTCATTTAGACCTTAACTTCTCGCTCTGCATCCAGGGTCCCTCCGACTTGTTCCTGCAGCAAGGCATAGGCTCGCTGCAATGCCTGGTATTCCATGGTCAGCTGCCGAAACCTCAGCTCCGTCTCTTCCTTGGCCATACCCTAGAGAAGCACATAGGCACCACACGGGTACCGCATGTGCAAAGAGAGATATAGCATTAACCTGGGCCCCACATAGCAGCACCCCCAAATAGCTGGGCTCCACTCTTCCCAATGAGGTACAGTGACTAGTCTTTCTAAGAAGTGTGCTGGAGGGACTCTGCAGCTTGTAGAGAGGGATACTACTTGGGAAGTTTAGAGGGAAGTTTTCCTGGGAGGTGACCCTTGGCTCCTGGGGTGGGTGGCTGAACTGGCCATGAAGAAGCCAAGATAAGCCTCATTGGTTGGTAGCCAGTGACCAGGGGCTCAGTTGGAACTCCTATTTGCCCTGACCCTGAGGCCTCTTTATGACGTAAGATGCTTCCCCACAGCTCCAGTGGCAGAAACGTGTCATGAGAAATACACTGAGCTTTGGGAAAAGAGTACAGGGTCATAGGAAGTACAGCTCCCCCACCCCCACCCCACCCTAATGCCTGTGTCAGGATGGGTTACCTCAGGCTCACCAATAGAATCACCCCTGGACGTGTGCTTCTAGCTGCACTGTCACCTGCTGCCACAGCTAGAGAGCAGATGCAAGTGGGTCTGCTGTCACCTTGGAGCCCTGGGGGCCCTCAGTTTGGAGAGTAGGCCATTATCTAGAAGTGATTGAAGCCATCTTCCCTCCCCATCCCCCGCTTGTTCCCTAAGGCTGATAGTAATGTATATGTTATGATAGCTTAGATTTCTAATCACGTCCAAAGCCTTTGAGCCACACTCCAGCATCTACCAGGGCAGGCCATCCATAATAACCTGTCCACTGGGCCCCTTCAAGGCTGCGAACCACACTTCCTGCCAGAGGGGTTGGCCATGCTAGAGCAGCCCCCACAAGGACACATCCTAATTTTCAGACCTGGGAGCCGAGATGGTTGCTGGACTTGAGGTGGCCATCACTCTGGCAGGAGAGGCTAGCCAGACAGGACACGTGGCCTGTTTTTATACACTAAGAACACTGATGTACCCTGAAATGGTGCTGGCCTCTTGCTTAGAGGTTCAAACTTTTCTGGGAAGCCTTTGAAGAGAGTGGAGAGCCCTCTGAAACCCCATAGAGGGTTCTAGCTGCATGGAGGGAGGCAAGGAGTGGCCTTCAGTAGCCACACACCCAAGCAATATAAATGATGTTCCTTACTGTGCAAATAGAGGACTGGCAGGGGCAAGCCTGAAGATCCAAAGGGAGCAGCATTCATGTAAGACCTCCACCCTATCCCTTGCCCAGCCTGACTCAGTGCCTCACCAACCCCCAAGGGCTAGCTAGTCAAACAACTCTGTGGGAGAGCCAAATTACCTCTTCCAGGTCATCTTCCGGGGTGCATGGGGTCTGGTCTGTCCTGTCAGTTTGATAAGAAATGGAGGAGCCATCGGATTCCAAGGAAGCTTCTTCATCATATCCGAAGAAGGTCTCCACAACAACTGGCTTCTGACCCAAATGCAATGCATTAGTGCAACCCAAGCCAGGTGGGTCTGGCAGCCCTAGGCCAGCTCTGCTTCCTCTTCCTGTTGCTCATGTGTGGGGTCATAGCTAAACAGCTGTCCCCCCACTGGGCAGCCCTAATACCATTCACCCCCTTCTATGTTTGCTGTTGTCCTTTAAGAAGGCCAGGGCTAGTCTCCCATGTGCCAAGACGGTGGTCTGGGCATTATTAACCAGTTTGGTTGTCCTGGAGGAAGGATGATGGAGGGTACATGGGGAAGTGGCCCTGGATAAGTGGTTCCTGGACCGGATCTTTGTGCCTCCTGAACTCATTCATGCAGGGTGGACAGTGAGTTCCAAGATACTGTGCATTCACTCTGCAGCCACAGGACTCTGTTGTATCTGTCCTTGACAGATTGGACTAGAAGCCAAGCAAAGCCAAATCCTCTACCAGCTAGTTTGAGAAGTTCTTCCTTCAAAATCCTTAGCTTTGCTCATCCAGGTTTTAGGAGTATTACAAGTTCCAGGAAGCTCTCATCTTCTTTTGGCCACAGTCAGGGTCTCCTTCCTCAACTGATTCTGAACTAGTGGTTGGCCATTGTGAACTTGTGTCTCTTCCAGAACCTTCAAGGAAAGCTTGAACCTGGGACTAGGAATACCATGTGCCCTCACAGCCTACATTTTCTAGCCCCTTTCCTCATGTCCCTTCCTAGGTACCCACATCTTACATCTTCCTCCTGCCTAGCAGTGTTTTGGGCTTTTCTCCAGTGAGCTGACCGCTGCCCTGCCTTTCTAGTTGAATGACCCCCCCCCCGACACTTGCTTAGGGGAATCCTGTCCTTTCAGAAGGAATTCCCTGCACCCCAACTGTTTTTCTGCACCCCAGTCTCTACCAGGCTTCTCCATAGAAACAGAGAAAACAGGTAAGCCAAATAAACACGAACTTGAAGCAATTTCATCAAACCTCAGTCCCCCTGATCTCTGATTATTAAGCATAAACCGCACAGGTGGGCTGGGCTCCTCCTGTCACGTCATTGCCCTTTCTCTGAAGGCCTTCACTCTTACACACACCACCTCCCTCTTGGCTTCAACTCCTGCTGCCCCATGCTGCCCGTGCTGCGAGAGTGTCTATGCTGTAGACCCGCCAGCCCCTTGTGTTCCAGCTCTTCACTGGCCAGTGCCCACCACACACTGGTGCCTGCTGCCTGGCCCCAGGCTTCCTATCCTCTAGGCCTTTGGATTCTGACCCCCCCCTCCTCTTGAACACTGAGGCGACAGTGGGGATATGTTGGTGGAACAGGTCCTGGGTGTGTCCAATGCCCTGGCTGCTGAACTCAGCTGGCTGGGTGCACACTGACCACTGACCTTGTGAACTCACCAAACGTCAACTCTCAGAAAAAGTCTCACTGCTTCTCTTCACAACTGTGAGACCCTCTGTCTACTCTCAATCAGAGTTTCTTCCTCACATTTCCCCTGAATAATAGACTTAACACCACCATGGGTTTGCATGGTAAAGACATCCAGGGCCTCTCTATAATCCGATGAGTCCTATCAGTGCTGTCTGTAGATGGGGAGAGGGACTGGGGAGGAACTGGAGTGGGGAGTAGGGGGGTTGATATGATCAAAATACATTGTATAAATTATAAAATTCTCAAAAGATTGGATGAAAATTCTAAAACAAACCAGGACTACAAGCAAAACAAAACAAAAACCCTGTAACACAGTCCCAACTATGACCCTGCAACCTCAGATAAACAGGGTCCTTCTCTCCAAGCGAGGTTGGCCTGATCTTAGTTGACAAAATTTAAGATGATAAACAGTGGATTTGCTTTGAGTCCTACATGGGTTATTTCAGAGTGACACTTTTTAATAAAATTTTCTCTTTATGTGCAAAGGAGGAAATTCATCCCTCTTAGACAGGTTTTGGAAGCTTGCACTTTATGCCCGAGCCCTCCCCTTCTTTTACCTTGGGGAGTTTTGCCATTTTCTTTCTTTGTTTCCGATACCGCAACAGCTTATCACGCTCCTGCAAAGCCAGTTGGAAAGTTCTGGTTAGTAGCAGATCGGCTGCCTGGCAAGGTGCACAGGCATAGGTTTGCACCACATTTTGTAGAAGGTGTTCTTGGGCATGAAGGCTTCTTAAGGAGATTGTACACACTAGCAATCCTCTGTCAGCATGAGGCAAGCAAGCCCCCATGTAGGTGGGCCTTGGGCTTGTGGGAAACTGGACATTCAAGGAGGTTAGGTGCTCCGGGTCCTTTCGCTCTGTGGAAAGGGGACCTTGCTTATGGAGAAACAGTTCCTGAGACCCTGTATAGGCCAGTGTCTGCTTCACTGCTGGGAAGCTACCCTGAGCGTTTGTGATTTCGCTGTCATGAGGGTGACAAGAGCCAGCCAACATAGCTTTCATGTTAGTTGGGAGAAACTGATAGGGGTGGCAAAGGTGGCCTCTTGGTTCAGGTCTTTGGGGAGTAAACAGAAAAATCATTACAGCTGGTGCTGTGTCACCTGGGGCAGCTGTTCCTATACACCCAAGAACTGGTGCCACTACATCTTTGGTCAGGGAATACTAAGTCTCATTCAAGAAGTCACAGCTGTTCTGTCTAGACTATAAGGGGCCATGGGCACAGAATGGGTTCACAGAGTCACTAGGGGCAGGGGGATCATGCAGCAAGTAGGGCGGTGCCCGCCAGTACTTACCAACACACTCTTCACATAGCCTGCTGTCTCCAGGGTCTAGGGGAAGAAAATACCATGTCACAGAGTTGACAGGGAAGACCTTGCTCTCCAGAGGTCAGAGAGAATGGCTCCCAGAATTTCTAAATTCTAACCTCAGAGTCACATAGCTGGTACAGGCCTAAGGGCCATGCACTCACTTCCCAGAGGGAGTGCCTAATACTCCTTCCTCTCTTCTGAGGACTCCCAGCACCTTCTAGAATACCAGAAGTCTTTGTTCACAGTGGGTATCCTGTTACTCACTCTGAGCAGGAGAAAGAGGCCTTTCAGAAATTGCCATGATAGGTATCTGTAAGCACCCAGGATCCCAATCTTTTCCCATTGCTCCCGTCCATTATTATTGTTGAGATTGAGAGAGGAAGGAACTCAGGCCCCCAGCAGGGTCAGCAAAGGCCATCCCAGTGGCCACCCACAGTCTGGGGAGTCAGGGGATGGAGAAAGAAGTCTATGCCACTGTCCTGCTGCCACCTTCCAAAGGACACAGAGGCAGCTCATTTTGAAATTTGAAATCGCCTCAGCCAGGTGTTGGTGGTGTATGCCTTTAGTCCCAGCACTCGGGAGACAGAGGCAGGTGAATCTCTGTGAGTTCAAGGCCAGCCTGGTCTACAAAGCTAGTTCCAGGACAGGCTCCAAAGCAATACAAAGAAACCCTGTCTCAAAAACAAAAAAACAAAACAAAAAAAAACCAAACAAACAAACAAAAAAAAAAAAAAAAAAAAAAAAAAAGAAAGAAAGAAAGAAAGGAAGGAAATAAATAAATAGTCTCATCATGGACTCAACCAGGATTCCAATAGGAAGCAGAGGGTACTCTTAAGATAGGGTGGAGAGTTTCATGAAGCACTATTTACAAACCCATGCTGGGATGTGGAGGCTGGCACAAGGACAGAGAAGTGGGGCCAGCATGGTAGCCCTCAAAAAGTGTCCACAGCCCTATCCACCAAACCTGTGAATGGAACCTGATTTCCAAATAGTGTATTTGAAGGTGTAATTAAGTAAAGATCTATACTAGATCTGAGTCATAAACCCCAGTGGCAAGGTTCCTACAAGAAACAGAAGAGGAGGAGGCCACGGTGGTATCGAGTGGAAAGATAAGACCACAGCTGAGAACACTGGAGTCCACAGAGCTGCTCAGGGGAAGGAGTGACCCCAGGCAGAGTGTGTGCATGGAGTACAGCCATCCATCCACTCTTTGATTTTGAACTTGTATCCTTGGCCTCCAAAACTCACAGTAAATAGATGGCATGTTCTTAAGCTTTCTGGCTACAGTAGTTTGTTATCAACGTGGGCAGCGCTGCTGGCCTTGGGCCTTGAGGCATGCAGTGTTAGGAGACTGGAGGCAGAGAGCTGTTTAAAGGTCACTTTAGGTAGTGACTATGAAGGAGGGGGCAGCTGAGGAGACCCCATCAATGCATCCCTGCTCTCCTTTGCCCCATTTCTACCCCAGAGAGATGAGGCAGAGAGCACAGAGAGTAGAGGTGTGCTGCAGATGGCTGTGTGTGGCATCAGAGGGCATGTGGGGGCTACGGGCTGAGGTGCAGACGGAGTGCATGGACACAGAGTCTATGCAGTGTACAGCCCCAGAGGGGCGCACGATGTCAGGGGCACACAGCTCCCTCCCATGGGTGCACAGGATAGCAGATGGACATGGCTCCAGAGGGCACATAGCAGCAGGGGAGTGTAGCAATGCTCACCTTAGAAAGCTCATCAATGAGGTTCTGCTGCTCCACAATCTGGAGCTTTAGGAAGTCGATCTCTCTCTCGTCTTGACTTTGATCCAGGTCGTTTAAGGAGCTGGGTCTCCGGATGATTCCAGCTCTCTGCCTCTGAAACACCAAGCATGGTGGGTAGAGTGATTGGCCTGCAAAGCAAGAAGGGAGGACCTCCCTACTGGCCTGAGTGACAGTTCAGGTTTCCTTGCTGTGGACAAGCACGGTTCTGCTTGGGCTTGGAGCAGCCTGTAGCAGGGCACCAGGGAAGCCAAGGCCTATATCTTGGTCATACATTAGGCCCCAGACAGCTTCCCAGATAGCCCAGACAAAGCACCTGAACTGTCTGAGGAGATGGACTATTATCTGAAAGGGCTAATGACATGACTCCTGTGACATCTATTGAGTCACTTTACTCTTGATCTAACTTTCCTCATGGCCTCTGGGACTTTCAGAGCATGAAGGAACAGGAGGACAGCAGTTTGGCATAATGGCAGAGGCAAGAGTGGAGTTTACCCTGGCATCTGGCTTGGTGCTCCTCAGCAGGCCTGGAGGTCCTGTCCCTCTTTGCACAGGACTCCTGGGGCTATAAGTGACTTGCACACCCTCTGGTGTTAAAGGAGGGCAGAGGAAACGAGGTGCTGCCTAGCTCTGCCCAGTAACTATTTCTGCAGACCTAGCAGGCACTCACCATCTCTATGTTCTCCTGGGTAACGAATTTCAGCTTGCTTTCTATACGCCGCAGAGTGTGGGACAAGTCCTCATTTTTCCGAGTAAGACGTTTGTTTTTATCCAGCAACGGCTTGTACTGACTTTCAGCTTCCCTCAACCGCTTTAACTGAAACAATATTTATTACATAATATGAGCTTTTATGTGATATAGAACTGACAGGTCTTTATACAATGACAACAAACTGACCAGTCAGGGAGCTCTGTGTCTTTTGGGGGAGGGCACGTGAATATACTCTGAGGATCCCCAACACACAGGTGTCAAATTAATTGTATAAAGTGGCATGGTGCTTGCATGGAGACTAGCACATTTCCAGTGTGCTGTACATTGTAGGGTTGTTTATAATAATCTATCTACAGAGTAAAAACAGTTATTTGATGGATAATATTGTTCAGGAAACAAAGCATAAAGAGAGAGACACTTATTGTGCAGGACTAATGGAAGTTTTTTAAATGGCTGGCTTCATGGACACACATGAAACCTATAAGTGTGGAGCCTGTCCATACATAACTGTAGATTCAGAATATGTAGGTGAGGAAACCTATGAATAAAAAAATCTATAGGTGCAGAATCTGTCTGTAGATGTGAGGCCTATAGATTCAGAATGTGTGGGTGCAGAACTTACAGGGACAGAGTGCAAAATGGAAAGTTTAGCTCAGGCTGCAGGGAGAGTCCTGCCGTTCCCTGCCCACTTCACACCCAGGTAAAACAGAGGCATCTCAGCTCAGCTGCAGATGGAGAGAAAGGTGAAGACCAGCAGGGTGGGGCCAGTGCTCCACTTAGCAGTAAGTGGGGGTGTGCTATGGCCCACCCCGTGTTTTCGTTATAGTTTTATAGTAGCACGACCAAGAAGCTTTGAGGAAAGGCTGTCCCTTGACACCATCACTCCTCATTTTCATAAGGAATTCTAGTATGGATACCTCCACCTCTCCCCAAACTGCAGTCCTAACCTATAGAATACAAAGCTCCCTACCAGTAACTCACCAGCTCGTTCCTCTCTTCAGACAGCAAGGCATTGCGGTCTTCCAGTTTACGGATGATAGCACTTAGCTCAGCGATTTTAAGTTGGAAGCGCCTGGCATCCTTTTCATCCAACTGCTGTTCCTAAAACAAAAGTCAACTGCAAATAACTGTTCCTAGATACAAACCTCCATGAACCCCAATCTAGCTGGAGAACAACACTCTTCTGCATTGTGACTGCCTTTGCTTCCCAGTGGCTGCTGGCAGGGCCCTCCTGGCAGAGGCCCTTGGCCTGGAGCTCATGCACTACACCCAGCAAGATGGGAAAGCAAAGATGTCGGCCATATGCAAATGTGGCGGGTCAGGGCGTGCAAGTGTGAGAGCCCAGTGTTGATGAAGACCAGATACATGCTTCCTTTGGGCTGCAGCCCAGCTATACCTTCCAGACAGGCCTGCCCTGCCAAGAAGCAAGTAACTCTTAAAAGATGACATTGCTTGTAGACTTTCTAGAGTTGTTTTCCCAAGAAGTAGGCTCCCTCAAATTGAGTTTCTAAAACTCACTTTTAGAACACGGGAACATTAAAAAATGAATGAAAATATTCTAATGCACATTTGGAATCTGGCACTATTGCAGTGGTCTGTACAGAACCAGGGCATGCCAGGTATTGGTTCTAACTCAGGAAAGCAATTTGTAATATGATCGTAAATGATATCCTCCAAAGTCAGTGGCCCAAGGTTGAATCAGCTCAAACTTCTGTCCCTGAATCAAAGAAAATGATGTCCAGAAGATACTGGACATGGCTCAAATTCCTCATTCAACAGGTGCAGGAGAGGCTGGGGGCCTAAGACTTAGAGGGTCTCCCAGGGTACTGCAGACCACCACAGAGAATCTGAATGAGGAGTGTGACGAATGAATATGCTTACAGTTATACAGTTGCTGACCCACAAGGTCACCAGCAGACTAAGAAGGAGCAGAAAGTGTCAAGGCCACATGAAAAGCAGGTGGGCAGTGACTGGTGATGTTAGTGCTAGCAACAATCACAAGAGGGGCCAGGCCAGAGACATAGGGGAGGGAGAGCTGGAGCCCGTGCACAGGGGGATGGGAGGGAAGGGAAGCAGTTCATGCTTGGAGAGGGTTCTCCCCACCAACCAAGGGCAGGCCATGACCTGCAAGTGACCTTTAGCAATCTGGGGCCCAGGAGGCAACAAGATCAGTGCTTCTATTGGGCTGATGAGGGAGGGAGACCGTGTATCAGCCCTCCTGGCCAGAGCCAGGTAAGTAGGGGCTGGCTGTTCAGTGTCTGGAGCAGGGGAGCTGGCTGGGTACAGGTTGTGGACTTCCCATGGAGCTGCTGCATTGAGTCAGACAGCTCCATGGTACTATGTGTCTACGACTCGGGGCTGGCTGAGACGAGACCTGGGGGTGCTTACAGGGCTTCCTGAGTGGTCTGAGGAGACGTCTCCTGCACCGCTTGCATGAGGGAGTTCCCGTCTGGGGCTGCCTGGGTGCCGCTCAGCCTCTTTGGCCTGGGAAAGCTGCTCATCTAGAGCCTCTTTCTGCAGCTGCAGTCTCTGGGCATGCCCGGCTTGAACCCCTAACTCTCTTTCCAGCACGAAGACTGCTCTGTCTTTAAATTTTATCTCCTCCATCTACAAGGAGAACAGAACACAATCACACCGCGCAGGCAGGGTACAGATCTGCAGTTACCATCGAAACAGGCAGAGTGGCATTAGGAGGAAAAAGTCCCGGGGATGGTAGCCCCACCAGAGAGTGTCTTGGGCTCTGGGACCGGAAGCAAAGGCAGACATTCTAGATGAGAGATGGGCACCCATGCTGCATAGTACCCCAGCCCTGGGTCATCCAAATCCAACTGGCTCACCCTGGGCTGGTCCCAGTGAGGAATCCCTTCTACAGGCCCCAGGCAACATGTATCCTTGCATTGCCAGTCAGGGTGACTCATCAAGAAGCCCCCATCCCTTGCTTGTGTGTCCATGGTAATGGGCATCACTGGGCAGGGTTCAAAGACCTGCAGTTCTTGCTTCCTTCAGTGTAATGGGCAAAGCAGAGATTCACCCTGACATATCTACACCTGCTACTAAGGGCACGGTGGACAAGATTCTTCTTTGGAATAGGTAGGAGGTGGACTTGGCTCTGAAGGATGGCCAAAAGCTGAACACTGCGCAGCCATGCATTTCCAGGTCACATATACTCCCTGTGAATCTTGTTGAAGACTAAGACTTTCAGGGGAGGGTAGGGACAGCTGGCCGAGCAGGCTCCAGAAGGCAACACCCACCGCATCTATCCTATCACAGCCCCTGGTCACTGCTGGGCTAGTGATGGCCCTCCTACCTTCCCCAAAAGGCAGTGTGTTTTGTGCTTGACCTAATTGTGGCATCAGGAAGCCCTTTGGGACATATATACTACCTGTATCCTGGGTCTCTTACTGGGGCTGCCCAAGCAGGTCCATGCTCTGCCTGAGGCTGACCCTGGATGGGGAGGGGAAAAGGGGACCTGGGTGCTGTAAGTATAACCAGCACTAGGTTTGTAACAGGGCAACATCGAGGGAAACAACTTAATTTCAAAGACAGCCGGTCTGTGCTGAAGGTAGCTGGAAACACAGACAGATATGTAACTAACCTTGGCCACAAATTCCAGGCAAGCCATGGGCAGAACAAGATAAAAATAAAGCCTTACTGGCTTAATTCCTGTTCAGTGGTGCATGCCATGGTGCTCAAAGGGCAACATGGACGATCAGGGAAGCAGAACGGCTGGGCTGGTAAACATAAAACCTTATGAAAGCAGCTAGGTTCTGAGGCTAGGCTCTCATCCAGCCATTCATTAATAGCCTCTGGGAATCAAAACAGAAGAAGAGCTCCTGTGTAAGCATGAAATGGCTGCCTGAGCATCTGGTTTGAGCAAAGGCAGCCCTGTCTTTGAGGTCAATAGGCACAGGGTACCCGTGTAGAAATTGGTGACAGGGTCTCCTAAGTCTGTGGTTTTCTCACTCAGTGGTGTTTTGTTTTGTTTTCAAGACAGGGTTTCTCTGTATTGTTTTGGAGCCTGTCCTGGAACTCACTCTGTAGACCAGGCTGGCCTCAAACTCAGAGAGATCCAACTGCCTCTGCTTCCTGAGTGCTGGGATTAAAAAGTGTGCACCACATGCCCAGCACTCACTCACTGTTTTAAACTGAACCTGTCTGATTTTTTTGTCTCCTAATCATGCTGGGATAGGTCGGCAAGCCTTCATGGGATGAGAGCATGCATCTGCAGTACGCCAGGCCCCATCCAGACTAGGGCGCTCTGCCTAGCAGGGTGGCTCCTCACTCATGGCAGCCACTACTGTATCCACTGAACCACAACGAACAAGATGGCCCAAGACACCCCAGCAAACCGCACAGGAATCCTGCCCACATGTATCTTGGTGCCCACAAATGTCACTCCCTTTCCGTGAAGGGTTGCTAACCAAGTATGACCTGTGTCATTACAGGCTGGAGGCTGGGGCTCCTAGGCCAATGATGCCCCTCCATCTTCCCTTCTGTAGTTTTTGGGTTCATAGGACAGGCTACCTTCTTTTGAGTCCACACCCATCCCCACATTTGGCAAGTAACCTTCCTGTGAGTCTAAACTAAGCGGTTTCTAGTGTATATCCTCACCACTAAGCCTGGGAAGTCCCAGTAAACCTGGAGGAACAGGTCATCTATGCTACTGTCTCTCCTAGATGCCTGTGGCAGTTTCCTGATACCACATACTGGCACATGTCCTCTCCTGAACCCGTTCACTCTGCAATCAGCATGTACAAATGAAACCACATGTCCTTGCCCCTGTGAAGGGAACACCCTTTTCAGATTGAGATTCAGGATCAGGCTGGAGCCTGCTGGTTACCACCAGGATTCATCCTGTGCTTTGCCACTGCTCCTAATTCTCAGTTATAGATGTTGTCTGGAAACCACAGAGGGGTTCCTGGGGACTGTTGAGTTTCCAGCAAAGGGTGTTCAGGAGGATGCTTGTTGAGGACTTACAGTGCTTCAGAGCCTGACTCAAAGAGCATGCTCCTTACAATGCTCCCCATCCCCCATGTGGTCTGCATCAGAACATCCTGGCCCATCAACAGGCAGATCCCCAACCTCAGGTACAGAGGTAGAGATTAGGGGCACCTCCCCTGTTCCTCTGCTGGCTGATATGGTAAATGTGATCTACCCCTCCTCTGATGTACTGAGAATCATTCCTCCATTATACCCCAAAATGGCCACCAGGCAAGCTTGCTGCTCAGGGCACACCTCTCAATGTGGTAGGTCCCCCACAGCTTTGGGAGCTTCCATCTGACTGGGTTCCTAAGACAGGCACTGCTGCCCAGTGCTTCTCAGTGACGACAGAGGGCGCTCACACCATCTGTCTTCTCCCAGTGACTCTCCCGGTTCTGCAGATGACCCCAAACAGATAAACATGGGTTCTGTACCAGCAAATGCTGCTGTTCAGCAGGGTGTGTGGGAGATGAGGAAGGGCAACGTGCTTTGTAGTGGGGTTCATTTCCCTAAAAGCTGGTCCTGGAAGGGCTTAGTCAGGTGGTGAGAACAGGGGAGAACCCTTGAGGGTTGAGGGTGGAAGAGAGATGGGAGAGAAAATGCTGACCAGATGGAGAGCCTGGTGGTGGCCCAGGTGCAGCCTAGACAGCAGAGGGTATGAGGGGTAAGCTAAGCTGGAGCTGAGGATGCTAGGATAACAATGCAGCCTCAAGTTATCCTCAGAGGCAGTCTGAGAGTAGGTATGCAATAACAAATAAGACATGCTAGGCTCTGCACATGCCCCACCCTCAGTGTTCCAGAGACAGGAGGATTTGTGGCATAGTGAAGAACTTGCCACACGTTACTGACAACTTGGATATGGACAGAATGTTCAGGTACCCACAATCTTGTGGCAGTTTTTCAACAGAATGACAATGGTGGATCCCACTAGACTCACCTAAAAGGTCCTTTGAAATGTTAGTTCCAGACAGGGAGGGGAAGTTGGCACTACACTTAGCCTTGCACAGTCAGCAACTCTGTGTGCTAAACAAGCACTCAGTACAGGAGTGGGATGCTGGAGTCAGGAAAGCATATGGGAGCCTTGGCCCAGCCTGTCCCTGGGGGGTCTCCCTCCCTGGAAACAGCTAACCTTGGTGAATGGGGTGGGCATTTGGCCAGAGGCTGCAGAATCCACACACTGCACCATAAGCAAAAACTTCAGGGTAATGAGGGTGAAACAGATCCACTCTAAACCCTAATCAGACCCAGAAGGAAACTCACTCTGCACAGCTATAACACTTCCCCCAGCATCCAGTATATGCCAAAATGGCAACACTTGTTGGAAGGCATGGAAGAGTTGTAGCCTTGGAGATAAATCAAATGTAAAGGTCAGGCCCAGAGATGAATGAGACATTAGAGTTAGCAGAACAGAATCTGAGAAAATAATTGTTAAAATGTTTTTCTTGGGGATGGAGAGATTGTTCAGTGGTTAAGAGTACTAGATGTTCTTCCAGAGGACCCCGGTTCAATTCCCAGCACTTGCATGGCAGCTCACAACTGTCTGTAACTCCAGTTCCAGGGCTTCTGATACCCTTACACAGGCATACATGCAGACAAAACACCAATGCACATAAAATAAAAATAAATTACATTTAAAAAAGAGTGGGTATAGTTAAGGTGTCTAATACATGTCAGTGGACAGAGAGGAAAGGTGAAGAAATATTTTCCTACATAATGGTGAAGAATTTCTCAAAGCCACTAAAAAGACATCATTTCAGATTCAAGAAGCTCTTATGTGCTTGATGGTGCAATAGTGGATTGGGGATAGTGGAGAAGGGGGGAAGAGAGGGGAAAAAAGGTATAGGAAGAGGCGGAAGAGAACTCATGTCATCATAGACTCCTCAGACATTAAAAGTATAATCAGAACATTAAGAGCAATTTTATGTCAATATATTTAAAGGTATATATGAATTGGACAAATTCCTTAAGAAATAAATTTTTACTAAACTTGACACAAGAAGTAGAAAATATGAAAAGGTTTATTTATTAGATAAATTTTATTCATAATTTGAAATATTGCACAAAAGAAAATTCTAATCCCAGTGATCTTCACTAGTGAATTTGTCCAAACACTGGAAGAAGAAATGTACTACTACTACTAATAATAAAAGAAACTTGAAGCAGAGATGGTGGTTCACACCTACAATTCCAGCACTCAGGAGGCTGTGCATTCATAGAGTGGTGAGTTCAAGGCCAGCCTGGGCTACAGAGCAAGATTCTACCCACTCCTTCAAAAGCTTATTAAGAGAAAAGAAAAAGGCTGTTTTTAAAGATAGTTTTATAAAGCCAGCCAAATTTAGATCGTACAACATGGCAAGAATCCTATAATAAAGTGGGAGTAAATTCTCAAAACAGTAATGAAAAACAAAACAATGTATCATGGTCAAGTAAGACTTATCCCAAGAATGCCATGTGGAGTTTGCATTGCAAAACAATGGATGTAATCTCTCTCCTCGATGAGATAAAGTCTTAAAAAAAAATCCCATACTGTCACCTGAGTTTATGCAGAGTAAGCATTTGATGAGATTCCATAGCCACTCGTGGTAAGAGTCGTCAGCAAATTAAAGTGTCAGGGAGTTTTCTACTCC